TAAAAGGATTGGTTAAAACTAACTAATCAAGGAAGGTCCCCTTCATCCAACGTTGTTGAAATTACTCTTTGTTTTAAGAGTTAAATCATTTTAGCCTGGCCTGGCATCGTCTAATATCTATACTAATATATATCTATATCTATAGTCTATTATAATCTATATCTATATAATATATTAACCCAGGTCTGGGCCCACCACCCATTCCAAGATGTGTTTCACTGTTCTCCTTTGGCCTGGGTAGCACAATATTATAAAAAACATAGTAAACTAATATAAATGATATATTAATGTATAAATATAAACTAAATCTAAAACGAATATTTACACATGAATCATTTCCTGAGATATAGCACCCAATCACCCCCCCCCCCCCATCCTTTGTATAATAGGGGAACAACCAAATAAGGCCAGGGGGCAGATGAGCCATTACTTCCTCCCAAAGTGCTCAGGTCGTGGACCAATTGTGGGATATCAACCAATGTGGAAACTTAATGAGGCTTGTTATGGGAAGGCTGTTTCCCCCCTCACGGTGGGAAGGGGGGAAGCCCCACAAGCCACACACATTGTTTTCTTCCTCACGTCCTCCCGTGGACAGACCGGTGGGAGCTCCGTGTCCCCGCCGGCAGAGGGCAGTATTGGCCTCTCTATGGCACAACCGCGGGTCACGTGACACCCTGCGGCGCGCTCCGCTGTGCACCTGCAGAGAGAGGAGGAGGAGGAGGAGGAGGAGTGGAGTTTGGATGCTTCGGTCGAGCTCGGCTGCCACTACTCACTCGAATTCAGCACAAGTTCTCGGACCAAGTTTCACTGGAGAAGTGGTGGAATAGCTGGAAGAGGAATGGAGCTGTCGGGAGCCCGGTTCTGCTGTGTGCTGTTGAGCCTGTTCGCAGGTAACGTGAAGTTTTCTCACTCCTACCGCTGAGCTACTTTGATTCTAATGAATTCCTCACTAAAACGGCGGCGAGCTCAGCCGCTGGTCAGCCGCGGACAATAACGTTAGCCGCTGGCGTTAACATAGAAACTTGCCTTTTTCGCTAAGTTAAAAATGCTGGTAACTTTATTAAACGTTTTCGTGACCTCAGGTTAGTGCCGTTAACAGTTAATTTGCTCAGTGGATATCCAAACAACATCTGAAAACACTTAACGTTTGATTAAAAGAAATGCCCAACAGGGAGTAACTCCGACCCACGGTTGTTAACTGTTCCCACAGCAGAGCAAGCGTCCGACTCAACACGGTTTACATTTTACACAGTTAACACTACAACTTACTTCATTTGTAAAAAATAAATACATAAAAACAGACTGTTTTTACACGGAAAGAGAAATATAAACGCGAAAAAGAAAATCAAACTTTTCTAACGTTATTTGATGCATTTTGTACACATTGTAGCTGAATAACGCAATAAAGGGACTGGTTTGGGTTAGGACGAGCAGGCTAGGTTTGCTGTCCTGAGGGGAATGAATGGTTATTCAGATGTATGGCACTGTGTGTGTTAGGTTCCCACAGTAATTAGATGGTAGATGATTTTTAGAGCCGTTTCCTGATGTCCTATCTCCGTGTGATGTGATTTTAGTATCGACTGGTGCTGCACACAATAGCTTGATCCGCTTTTAAACCTGTGGCTTCAGGACTTCAAAGTGTTGCCCTTTTTTTTGTCTGCCATCTGCCAGCAGTGCTGACCCCCTCCCCAGTCCCAAATCCCAGGTTATCACATTCAACTTAACCACATGTTTGCTCCTGTGGACTGCTTTGTTTATGGTTGTGCTTTGCTTATTTATGTCACGTCAAGACCCTTATTTAATGAAAGTTGAGTCCCTCAGCTGAGAGGGCTTTTGTTGTTAGTTGATACTGTAGCTGGGTAGATAACAGTGTGGGCTGTGAAACCTTGGGTCACCATAGTTCTTTTTAAAGCTCCCTTGCTTGTGCTAACTTATAGTCAATGATTTAGAGGTGAAATTGAGATATTCTGCATTTGACTTGGACCTTCATAAAGGACGAAGAGCACCACTCGCGAACTTTTTTGTCACTTTTTCATTTGAAGCACCAGTCAGTAAAAATGCAGCTGGTTGTAGTTGGCAATAAGGACGGGGCAGGTCCAAAATGAAAGTTTTTATTTTGATACTCTTGTTGTGGGCTCTACTGTTATTGTGCCATGGGGGCAACATTTGATATGTGATATTTGATTTGATAACAATGCAACCCTCTAAATTGTAGCAATTGTGCGATTCAATTGTGTGCGTATGGGTGTGGCTGTTGAGTGCCCTGGAATTTACACTGAAACCAACAGATCACTCCTCCCTCTACAGACAATAATGTGAGACTTTTTCTACGGCATCCTCTTTTGACCTCAGTCAGTGACGTGCCGTGGCTGTTATTAAACTATTTTCTGAGATTGGGATGGGAAGCCACAGAGCCATGGTCAGGGCCGTGACATTCCAGGATGCTGATTAGTAAGAAACTGCATGTATTGAAGGAGTGCTTTGTTTAGGATCATCCAGCACATCTCTCCATGTAAAAGCTGGGGCACTGTGTGTAATATAAGGTTTACATAGTGTGCTTTTTAGAGTCGTTTAGACCTCTTTTGTTTCCTGATTCATTCACATTGTTGTGCCCACTATGTTTGGGCTCATTACCATCTTAATGGCATCATGGCCTCGTCATTTGGGCGCTGTTCCACTTCAGCAGACAACAACAGACTCGTAGCGTTCTTTTAACATGGCTTACAAATACACAATAAAGTGCTAACCTCTCTTAAATGGCCAAATAACAAGTGAGGTCTTTCTGCCCCATTTTCTTTGCTCTATTTGTCCACGGTGCACCATATGTAATATAAAATGAGACAAAAGAAATATTATAATGGGGACATCTGAAATCCTGGAAATGATGGTCAGTGTTGAGGATTTAGAACACATACATGAAAAGTCCAGGCAGGATTCACCCAGCCTCCACGTTATAAAAGGGAATTCAGTTTGGTCATCTTTTTGTCTGCGTCAGGCTGTCGTTATCAGAGAGATAGGAGATTGTTTTTCCATGTGAAATGACGTGACGTGTCATCATTAGATAAATAATAGACTATTTGGTTTGTGGCAATGTTCCTGAAGCCTGTAGGTTAACTGGTTGAGGTCCTCCCAGTATGCACACTGTTTAATGCAAATTAAAACAATTTGATACAGGAAAGGGAACAAGAGAAGAAAGTTTGTACACAGTTGTAAAATGCTTGCTTGACAGAGCTCCCTTTTTTTGAATTCTTGTGGTAATGTTTTTCTTTTTTTGATATGACAGTGTTATCAGAGACCAGCTGCTGTTGGGCTGGCTGTTACTCTTCACAGTGACATCAGATGCTGTAACACACACTCAAGAGACTGCTCCATGCAAAGGCAGCAGTAGAAAGTAGTTGTGCTTACAATATTTCCAACAAGTGTATTTGAACGAAAAACTGCCACAGCTTTAAAAACAAGGCAACTCCTCTGTTTCTTCTGTCTATCATCAAAGAGTCTTTGTCAGCCGTAAGACTCTGTGGTGACCACTTCTTCTCTTTATTAACAGACACCGCTTTATTTCCTTTGGGCAGCCTGTATTCAATGCCTGTTGTCCCCCCCCCTCCACTCCTGGTTGTTTGGGTCAAGAGTGAAGCCGCTGACCTAGGATAAACAGAAAGCTGGTGAACCTGTGAGCAGGCGCAGAACACAGTTACCTGATAAGCCTACAGCCACAGGCCCTGGCCAGGAACTGGTTGCTTGGTTACCTTTTGAAAACAGACACGCAGATCCAGGGAGTGTACTTGTGTGTGTACTTGTGTGCTCCGGTTTCTCTAGAAAGCTACCCTCCCCCTTGCTTGCATGTTGTATGTATTGGGTCCTCTTTTATAGCAGCAAAAACATCTCTTGTTTTTCACTAAAGCTGCTGCAGATGTTTTGATTATCTTGATAAAATAATGGGTTGGTTAGTCACTCTTCTTGAAGGAGCAATTATTGTCAATGTCACGCTTCCAGCTGTGTGTGTATTGATAAGGCGTTGGAGTGAAGCAATAGTTAGAACCAGAGAGATGGGTGGAGGCATGTAGAGCACAGCCTGAGCCGCTGTCGTTGGCCCCATGCAGACAGTAATGACTTTAGGTCACATTCACTTGTCATGACCGAGCAGTCCAACGGCCACTGTTTGCCTCCTGTCGGCTGAAACATGTTGCAGCCACAGCTTCACCTCCAGACAAGCAGCCACTCACTCTGCCCCGAGCCCCCTGTCCTTGGAAATGAAGCAGGAACATGCAGAATCGGATTACACTCCAGGGACACTGCTTTGTCCTCCACAATCTGACGATGGGGACGACCATGCATGAATATTCACGGCCCCGGACGTTAATATTTTAGAATGCCAGCGCTGTACAAGCCCTGTGCCAACTCCTGTTCACCTACATGAGTGTGAAACGCTGATCCCTTTACCTCGCCACATTACCCTACCCCTTTTCTCCTTTCCCCCTCCATTTCATATCTGAATTACGGAATGAACAAATTGCTGCCTGCTAGGGAATCAGTGAAAATGATTAATAGTGGTGCTTGTTTCTGAGTCCTGTTAATGGCTGTGGAGCCACTCTGTATTCAGAGCTCATTTCTTTTTCACAGGTATGGATGAAACCGCTCTCTGGACTGCTGCCAAAGCATTCTTGTGAGAAGATATATTGGCAAAATTATGCTTGGATCCCTGGGTCATAAAGTCAATGTTACATTGACAGACATTTCAAGTTTGTCTATCTTCAAAGTTCTATAACACTTTGGCCACAGTATTGACCTACTGACGGCAGCAGGCTCCCCAGAGCCATACACATTGTGGGCTGTATTGCTCTGGAGCAGTTTTGCCTTAAAGACACAAATTAGTGGCTGATCAGTTCATCAAGGTCATGCTTTTTTAGTGCCTATGGGACCTGGGGGACCATGATATATTGGCCAGCTTGCGTGCTCAGTCAGTTTGCTTGTTTTGTCCAATCAACCATATAAAACCCAAAGGTATTCAATTTACAGTGACGTGAAAACAGAGAAAAGCAACAAATTCTCTCAGTTAAGCAGATTTTTTTTCTTGGTAACTAACTAAAATGATTAATAATGATTTGATCTAATTACAGTTTACAACATAATTATGTAAATAAGAGCATGTGATTATATTAGCTGTTCGAAGGCAAGATTGCATCGCTAACCGTAGTTGTGGCTACAGCATGTACAGGCAGAACCAATATGTGTGTGTCATACATAGAGAAAGTAGAGCCACAAGAATCAACACAGAAGCACTTTAGAGAGGGTCACTGTCAGTAAATAGCATGTTATGTCTCTGTGTCTATGTATTGGTTCATAGACATGATGTGCAAAAAATAGATATCAGAGTAGTTTGAACTTGTACTTATACTAATCAAATGTCATTTTTTTGCCAGTTTTGACAGCACTGGTGAGAGAGCAATGTGCCACTGATCAATTGACCATCCTCAAACTGGGCTTTCCGTCAAATAGCTATGGTGCTATCATAAGTACAGTGTCATGTAGCCTCTAAGTGCATATTTTAGACCCTTCTACAGGGTTCTGGTTTTCAGATAAGCCAGCCAGAAACATTAACAAAATCATTAGTCGCTGCTGGCTAGAAATGAGAAGCCTGCTTTGTCTCGCTCAGGATAGAGGATAGGACCCACTATTTAAAAAAATAAATGAATAATAATTAGTAAATGTTATCACTGTAAACTGTGCCATGCAAGAACAGAAAGCTTGACAGACGTAGCAATGGTGACTAACGGGGGCGGGGCAATTTTTGGCCTCTAATGAACATATTTTGTGCTGGGGAATTAAACTCACTGTGGCGTGTAATAAACAATGCCTTTAGAAACTACAGACATTTTGGCTTGTTTCACTA